TGGTGGCCGTTACATCATTTGCATGAGTTAACATAGTTAACTTAAGTTTAACAGGACATTCCTGATAATTATTAATGAGAGATAAGCACATTTACAGATTGAATGATTTCAGAGATACGTGAATACCATGGTTCCATAGTGCTTATACGTTCCCTTTGTTCGTCATGAATCACTATAGCTATCTTGCAAATAACAGAATGTTAGTCTTCTTTGTCAACAGTAATACCGCTCAATAATGCCTCTAGATTTTCCAATCGACACATTGTTAACTTGATTACTTGCAAGGAACAACATACTAACGATAAAAATCATCAACGATAATTGAACGTACGACTACCGTACTATTACTCACAGTGTTGCGATAACGTGCTCGTTTCTCCCGGAGTGTGCCCTGCACATACTCAAACCTTACAATTTAGTTCCCTTTTTTATATCAAATTACTTCTTGTTTCGTTTTACTTCGAAGGAATTTATACATATTAAAAAGACATCAAATACATATTCCGACAACATTAGAGGATTCTACACGCAAAACGAAGCGATCCACATTTTTCAGCATGGGCTGCACGTGCGGCTGTGAGCCCCGCACGTGCGGCAGAATGCCCCCGCACGTGCCTTTTAGGCAGAACCAAACCCAAAATTTTCAGCATTTGCCGCACGTGCGGCAGTGACTCCCGCACGTGCGGCGATTCTCCTATTTTGGTCCGAAATTTGCATCAAAATCTCATCTTTTGGGGAATGTTTCCAAGGCTCAAGGGTGGATCTTTTCAATGCTAAATCATGGTTCAAAACATGTAATTCAAAGCATCACATACACAATCTAACTTGCATTAATCATGAACACAACTCAATTTAATCAACCAAGAATTGAAACTCATAAACATAATTCCCTTTCTTGAAATTCTTAACTTCACTTATATCTATCATAATTAAAATCATAATTATAAGAATGAATACCAATTGGATGAGGAAGGAGGCACAAATGATAGGATTAATCATACCAAAACTTCACCATACACAACCAAGATTCTCATTACACTCTAGATCATACCCAATCAAGAACTTTTTATTTCAAATTGAGGAAGGAGATTGGATTAGGGAATTTAACCTTACCTTTGCTTCAATTTCTCTTAACTCTCCCTTGATCTTCTCCTGTCTTCACTTTTCTCCAAGGAATATGTTATATGGAAGTTCCGAAGTCTTGAGTTCATAGAGGCTCTTATAGACATACATATATAAAGGGTGAATAAAGACGAAAATCAATCGTTTAAACATCTGAAATTGAAATTCCACAAAAACGCTTAATATTACCTAAAAATTATGTTGATCACATATATAAAATCAATTTCAGATAAGCAGGCCCCTAAGGCTTCCAATTTCTAATTCAAACTTTATAGTTGCAACAGATACATTTCTTATCAAACAGATAGGCATCTTTAAACATGAAGTTCACTTTCTTAACCGTAATTTCTCATAGGATTTCACAATAAACATCCAAAAGCACAAAACAGGGACTGAAAATATATCAGAAAACATGTACGAGGGTCGGGTTATTACACTCTCCCCCCCTTAAATAAGTTTGGTCCTCCAAACTTGTCTTACCATGTAACAGATTAGAAATTCGTTGCTCACGCAAATTTAAATTTTTTTTTTGACCACTTTACAGGTTAAGCCGATATTTATTATAGTTATACAAAAGTTCTTAACATAACAAATATTTCATAGCTGTATCCAACTAGTCGTTTCAATGTCGACTCACACAGAGTCTATTACAGAGTATTTAAGGCAGAAAATCCTCAGTAGGCATGGTCTATAATCACAATATTTCTTTGCCGATACGTTTCATCGCATCAATTCTTAAATACAGAAACATATAGTTCTCAAATATTGAAATGTAGAAGATACCATTTTCTTAAACATTCTCAAAACATTTCCAAAGCATACCATTTTATTGGTTCAGAATTAGATGTAAACATGGTTAAGGCGACAAAAAGAAGGGTCACAATACACATCGTTAATTTCTCATAGCATTACCTCTAAGCACAGTAACGCAAGAAAAATCATGCTTCAAATCAAACAGCTATGATGATATCAAAACTAGTAGCTTATACTTTTGCGAATTCATGCAGATGTGCCATAATAACTACTTAATTACACTATTACTAGTTCGGACCTGAGTAACAGAAACAGATGGGACAACCATTTTTTTTTTTGTGAGCAAGGAGAGCAAAGATAAGGCTAGAAAGCAAATCCAATCACTTAATCAGTCATAACAATAAGATATAACATTCTCATCACAATACAATTTAATGTGGTCCATTGTAATCATTTCAGTGTTCCATTGTTCAGACAATTCTTCCTCGTCCTACTGTAGGATACAAGATTAACCACATGGTTTCGTATTCACAATTAATAGTTGTAGGAGGTCAATAAACAGTCATACAAAAATTATGGACCAGTCGTCCGGCCTAGTCAAGGAACATAAACAAGGTATCCGGTTACTCTATGTACGTAGGTTCCACTAAGTCCTTTCGTAGGGTCATAAATTTCATGAGAATTAGACTTATCAGTTCAAATCAGATTTCTAACAGACTCCAAATGACAATTCAAATCCCATATCAAGGAATTACATGTTCAGAATAAATTATCAGTAAAACCAAATACGTATTCAACCGTAATGATCACATTTCCCGAATTACAATAAGGTATAATCATTTAAAATCCATGTTTGCTTGGAAGATCTTAAAGTTAACATCATGACATCAAACACATAATACATTTACCAGAAAGCTATTATATTCTTGTTCCATATTTAGTAAAATGTTCTTATCATGGACAAAACATTTCCAAAAATATGTAATACATAAAGTTCATCAAACCTTTCATAATTACATAAAATACGTTGTTCAGAGACATTACCCAGAAACTTATCAGACCTTTCAAAGATTATTAGATGATGGAATAATTCCCAATAGCATTAAACTTATTTAAACTTTGATAGAACAATCTTTGATCCAGCTTATAATAGATAAGATAGAATGACTTCAAGTTCAACACAGAGCATTCATCAAGCATGCTACACTGAATTATCAAATGGAAACTCATTCATGTATAGCAAAATATCTCTTTCAGGAAACTTGTCACATCCTGAACATTCGGAGTTTCGTAACATACTTAGTCATCTTGAAGAAATTATTCGGAAAGCTTATCATATCATACACATGGTAGAAGTTCTTAGCATTCTTTATCATTTCAGAAAATACATCATATAAAACATTTCATAACCCAAAATATAAATTTCATAAACATCGTATAACATAGTCATTTTCAAAATCCTTTATACAAAAGTATCTTTTACAAAGACAATACTTACTCAGGTCTATAGTCAACTCACACAGGATAACACATTATTCATCTATGTCAGAAGTACCGAACGTAATTGGTAGTATGACACCTCTAAATAACACAGATCACATAAGTTCCATTCCAATGATCACTCATTGGCAGATCACATTAAAGGAACAAGCCTTGAATTAATTCGCATACAAATATTTCACCCTTAATTTGACAATTTGCAATATCTAACATTTGCATGTTTACACAGAAATATATCATAGAAATGCCTTCTCAATCTTAAGTCATTAATACCCGTAGGCAGGGTTTTTGTTCTTATGGGAAAATATCATATCCCTATTTATTTAATTGATCTCAAAGTAGTCAATAACTACCCATTTTCTTACAAGTATCATGTGGACAAACACATAACCTGGATAAGGTCCGATAAATTTTTTTACATAAATACCAACTGTACTGAACCGATTATATCCCTATTCTATATATCAATCAATCAAATTGTCTCACACCCATCTATTCAACTACTAAAAAAAAATAATAATAATAATAAAAATAAAAATATCCCAAAATCATTTTCAAAACTCTTTTTATCAACTTATCTTTCAAAATATAATTCAAAACTCAAAAATCGGTTCAATTCAGTACAGTTTGATAAAAGAAGTGATTTGTATTGATGTTCAAATAAAATCGAAATTATCAATTTGGTGAATTTTTTTACCTAAATACCAGCTGTACCGAATCGATTACATCCCTATTCTACCTATCAATCAATCAAATTGTCTCACACCCATATATTCAATTACAAAATAGAATAATAATAATAATAATAATAATAATAATAATAAAATCCCAAATTTATTTTCAAAACTCTTTACTGACTTATCTTTCAAAATATAATTCAAAACTCAAAACTCTTTATACAAACTAAACCAAACGGAAGCTCAGGAGACTGCATCCATTACAAAAATATAAAAATAGAGAAGAATTCAAAAGGCTGCATGAGATGTGAAACAAAAGCTCACAATGCGTTTCCCCAATACAAAATAAATTTTAAAAAAGAACTGTAAGATAGACTCAACAAGCTCGTACAGGGGTGCAAGCTCCCCCTCAAATCGAAATGATGATGTATATGATGAGTTGATGGATTAAAGTTTTAAAAAGACGGTCCGTTTCCTTCCAACTTGTGACTGGTAAAACGTAGTGTATTAGCAGAGGTTTCTCTTTCCTTTCGATTTGTGCCCAATAAAGCATGTGGATTGTTGGACTATATGGAGGTTCTGCTTTCCCTTCGGCTAGCCACCGGTAAAGTGTGGCACTTTGAGGTAAGTTCCAGATTTCCTTCCAAATTAGTGCTTGGTAAACTGTGTTGGAATGACATAACGAAGCCGGTTGTTAATTGTGTTGTGTTCGTCACTTGGTTGCATGATTGTGTAGATATGTGTGCTATGGTGAAATTGTGTTGGAGATTGAAAGTGTGTAATTGAGATAATTTTGTAATGAATTGAATGCTATCGCTTGTCTATATGTTAGATGTTGGTATGTACAATTGGTGTTTTATTGATTGTAATAACAGTTGATTGTGAAATTATTGTTTTTGGGTTAAAGATTAGTATGAGTGTGTGATTGATTGGTTTAAAACTCTTTAAAATAGTTGACTTTTATTTACTATATTTAAATAATAGTTGGCTTTTATTTTGGTTTTATGACTTTAAAATATTTGGCCATGCGCTGAAGATTTTCATTTTGGATTTGTTGATTCTATGTATATGTCATATCTATATGGTAATCCAAACATTTTATACTAGTAACAGTCAAAGTGGTTCTTCATTTTCTGTTGATGCAGGAGATGAAGAGTCGGTGTGATGAGAAAATGTCCGACTTTATCTTTTCTAAGACTAGAACAGTCTCTACAAATAGTAAATTTATTCATATGGTGCTAGCGGTCACTTAATTAATTTGTGTTTTCATTTTTCAAGTCAGAAATTGCTTGGAGAGATGCAAAATATGGTCAAAGAATTCAAGAACTTTGTTCTTCGGGTTTTTTTTAATGCATGTAATCACAGTTAAAAACTTGTTATTAATTCCTTTGTATATACTTTTGAACATTCAATTTTCATTTATGAAATATATGATGTTATTTCATTCAATATGTGGTTGTGATTCAAATGATATATATATAGTGTGTATTATATTCTTCAAATGCGCGTACAAAAATAATATTGATTATGTTGAACCCTTTTTTTTATCACACTCATTAACTGTGATGAGAAATGCATATAATATGTGATCTTATCTCACTATTAATCACAGGTTTTATTAGATATTAATCATACTTAAAATCTGTGATCTAAATGTTATTAGTCACACTTAAAAGATGTGATTTAAATATTTATTATTATCACACGCAAAACGTGTGATGGAATCATCTTTTAAAGACATTCAAAACGTGTTACACTCTCGAAGATCACACTTTGACAAAACTTGAATTGTGTGATTAAATAGCATACATCACCCATAAAAAAGTGTGATGTATTTATAATTTGTAGTAGTTAAATGAGTTAAGTGGTTAATCTCATGATTTTAGAGTTATGTAATATTTGTGAATTGAGAAAGAAAGAAAATGTTTGTCGTAGAAGTGGCTCATGTTCTGAAGGTTGTTAGCGGAATTGGTAAATTGAATGAGATAATAAGATTGTTGGTCTAATTCTAGGAAATGTTGATTGTTGTAGAATGGGTTATACATGTGACATGCTGTTGATTTAATTTTACAAATCGAAATGATGATGTATATGATGAGTTGATGGATTAAAGTTTTAAAAAGACGGTCTGTTTCCTTCCAACTTGTGACCGGTAAAACGTAGTGTATTAACAGAGGTTTCTCTTTCCTTCCGATTTGTGCCCAATAAAGCGTGTGGATTGTTGGACTATATGGAGGTTTTGCTTTCCCTTCGGCTAGCCACCGGTAAAGTGTGGCACTTTGAGGTAAGTTCCAGATTTCCTTCCAAATTAGTGCTTGGTAAACTGTGTTGGAATGACTTAACGAAGCCGGTTGTTAATTGTGTTGTGTTCGTCACTTGGTTGCATGATTGTGTAGATATGTGTGCTATGGTGAAATTGTGTTGGAGATTGAAAGTGTGTAATTGAGATAATTTTGTAATGAATTGAATGCTATCGCTTGTCTATATGTTAGATGTTGGTATGCACAATTGGTGTTTTATTGATTGTAGTAACAGTTGATTGTGAAATTATTGTTTTTGGGTTAAAGATTAGTATGAGTGTGTGATTGATTGGTTTAAAACTTCTTTCTAAAGTAAAGGAGATATTGAAGCATTTCATTTAAATTGCTAATGATAAGGTGAAAAGATAATAAATAAGTTTTTCCTTGAAATATCAAGTGGAATATTTTCTTCTTTTTATTTATTTTTAAATGAAAGTATATATTTATGTATGTTTTATTTTGGATATAAAAGAGCACGTTACTTATCTAAATATCACCTGATAGTATTCATGATCACATATATCTATAGATCTCATTATTTTGCATCATTGTAAATCCCTACTGGATCTTGTGCTCATCTCAATCGTTAAATCATTGTTTAGGTGTGGAGTTTGTTGTCTCGTTCAAGAATTCAAGGAGTTAGGTTACTAATGATTCGAGATTTGTTACTCACCGGTGAAAACGCCAATGTGTTATTACTCTCTTTATTATAATTATTGCATTTTTGAAATTCTCAATGTAAGCCTAAGGGCATATTTTGTAATGATCCGTACTAAACTTGTACCATTGTATTTATGCGAGAGGGAACCTTGAATATCCTATGTATTTTGTTTTGCTTCTGCATTTTATTATTTCATAAATGGACCTTAATATGAAAATTGATAATATTATCCGATTAATAAAAGTTGGAGCATTACAACTTGACAACAAAAATAAATCATTTCTTGGTCAGCTAATGCAGTAGACATAACTTGCCAACAAAAATAAGCAAATACTTGATATGCTTTTTCTTGTGAGTCAAGGAATTCGAAAAATTTATAATCCGAACTGGTTCGGGCCGGTCCAGTTCAGTTTAGTCCAATTCGATATGTTTTGACTAATTTTTGGAATTTGTGATTTGATTCTGGTTTGGAAAACTAGGGAATTGATCTTTTCAGATCAGTTTCAGATTTGAGTTCACAGTTCTAAATTAGAAATGAACCAAACCATATGTAACTTAAACCATATACATAATACACCTTGTGCATACAATCCTACCATCTGATATACAAAACCCTAATGTTATTTATTTATTTATTTTAATTATTTAGCATAATTTTAGTTTTATAATTGTTGTTGCCAAGACAAAATGCTTGTTTGATGGGAGTTTTATGTTTGTTACATGTTAAACAATATGTTTATTTACTAAATATTATGTTTGTTTAAGTTATGTTTCAAAAAATCATGGGTAGATTAATGTTAAACAATTTATGATAGGTTTAATTTTTTTGAATACGTTATATGATTTTTTTTTGTATGGATATGTTATGTAAAAACCGTTGTTCCAAACCAAGTCGAACTGTCTTTAAATGATTTGATTGGAATTGGTTCCATGATTTAAATACATTGGTTTGGTTCTAATTTTTATGGAACTGTAAATAACAGATTAGTCCTAGTTTTATCTCCCACCAAACTAATCCGAATTATGCTCACCCAAAAAAAAAAAAAAGGGCAATTACTTGTACTATGAGAGAAAATGAGGGTGATTAATGAAACTGCATTTCCATTCAAACCGAGCAAAAACAAAGAAAACGTTTGATTTACTTTTTAAAATGAATATTTGGATAAAAAAAAATCAAAAAACATGTTTGGTTAATAAGATTTTAAAATTCTTCTCTCTCCTTTCTCTCTTCTTTTTTTATTTATTTATTAATAAATCGATCAATCATTTTATCTCTTCTATCTCATTCTTTGGATAAAAAAATCAAAAAACATGTTTGGTTTTAAAATTCTTTTCTCTCTCCTTTCTCTTCTTTCTTTATTTATTTATTAATAAATCGATCAATCATTTTATCTCTTCTATCTCATTCTCTCACATTTTACATTAAGGATGGAAGAAAATTTTTTTAAAAAAACGACCAAACCGGTTATACTTAATTTATTTTTTAACAAGAATTAGTTTGTGTGATTTTTAAATTTGATTTTTTTCAATTTTTGATTTGGTATCGGTTCAAGTATCTTGTACACCAAATTAGACCGAAATCAACCGCTTTAACATATATTATATTTATATAATATATATATATATATATATAATCTAACAATATAATAATATTAATAAGTATAATAAATTAATAACCTTAATTAATTAACTTTATCATCTTTATAACCTAAAATTGTAAACTCTTGTTATATACAATCTAAAACTAATATTCTTGACACCTTAGTATTTTTAATTTTATTTATTTATTTATTTTTTAATGTAGGAATTGAAAAGTATTTATTAAATGGATGAATTAGATATGTTTGAAATGGTGGACAAAAACTAATGGGGAACTTACCAATAAGTTCCATATACAAAGTTCAAAACCCATCTAATCCCAAAACAAAACATTTGCACTAATTAGTCCTATATATTTTTAATTATTACCAAAAAATCTTATTATTTTTTTATTTTTTAATTTACAGACGCTGTTCCATCCCACTACCATCGAATTTTTGTCAGACGGTCATCGGAAACTCGTCGGAATGTTCAACATCACCGAAAAGTCGCCGAAGTATTGCCGGAAGTTCACCGGAGTGTTTTGAACGTCAATGAAAGTCGCCGGAATGTCCAGAACGTTCGTTGGATGTTAAGAACATCATTGGAGACTCACCGGAATGTCCAAAATATTGTTGAAAAAGAAAAAAGAATAAATGAAGAAATTAGAGTGAAAAAACGTAACAAAATGTGCTAAATATTGATAAACCAAAAAGGGACAAAAAATGTAACAACAAAAAATAGCAACAATAGGAAAAAAAAAACATATGTTATTTTTCAATTTTTATAACGTTTAAGCAAATAATCTTCAATATTAATCAAATTAAAAAGCAAACTTTGAAACTATAAAATGTTATAATTTCAAAGTAAAAATCTATTAGGCATTTATCCTTATTAACCAAATTGAAAAATATATTATGAAACTGCAAAATTTTACAGTTTTAAACCATGATTCATTCCAGCACCAAAACAAATTGAAACTGTAAAATTTTATAATTTTCACCACCTGTAACTAAAACTCAAAAACAACTTGTTCAAAACTTGAATTTTTTTCCCATTAAAATAGAAAAATAGAAGTGTATAACAGATAAAATGTAGAAAAATTAAGAGATCGAATGAGAGTATAGAGAGAGGATTGTATTTCGACAACTATTTTTTTATTTAAATCTACTCAAATCTGATGTAGATCTACATCAGATCTAAGTAAATCTACTCATCTTCTTCGTCAAAAACATATCTTCTTTACTGTCGGTGAGGGTCAAGTAAAGAGTCGGTAGTCAATGGTTGTCGGTGAACCCCAATCGATGGTAATTGTCGGTGACTATATATCAGAAAGAGAAAGAGAAGAAGATGTGGTTGCCCGTCAACGATTGCTAGAAATCACAAAGAGCAAAAGAGGTAGAAAAGAAGAAAGGCAGAGAAGAAGAAAAACGTTACAAGACTTTTGAGTATAAACAAAAGATTATGGGACTAAATAGGCTACATGTTTTTCAAAGAAGACTTCTTGGTAATTTGCCCAGAACTAATTTAATGTTTTTATATAGATCAGTAATTATATTTAAAAATGACTCAAGTTTAAAAGATCTTAGACCGATTAAACCACACTAAATCAAACTGAATCGCTTTAATCGGTTCAACTTTTAGTACGATTTGATGAAAGAAGTGATCTGTATTGGTGTTCAAAATAATAAAATCGACATTATTAGTTCGATAAATTTTTTTACATAAATACCAACTGTACTGAACCGATTATATCCCTATTCTATATATCAATCAATCAATCAAATTGTCTCACACCCATCTATTCAACTACTAAAAAAAAATAATAATAATAATAAAAATAAAAATATCCCAAAATCATTTTCAAAACTCTTTTAATCAACTTATCTTTCAAAATATAATTCAAAACTCAAAAATCGGTTCAATTCAGTACGGTTTGATAAAAGAAGTGATTTGTATTGGTGTTCAAATAAAATCGAAATTATCAGTTTGGTGAATTTTTTTACCTAAATACCAGCTGTACCAAATCGATTACATCCCTATTCTACCTATCAATCAATCAAATTGTCTCACACCCATATATTCAATTACAAAATAGAATAATAATAAAATCCCAAATTTATTTTCAAAACTCTTTACTGACTTATCTTTCAAAATATAATTCAAAACTCAAAAATCGGTTCAATTCAGTACGGTTTGATAAAAGAAGTGATTTGTATTGGTGTTCAAATAAAATCGAAATTATCAGTTTGGTGAATTTTTTTACCTAAATACCAGCTGTACCGAATCGATTACATCCCTATTCTACCTATCAATCAATCAAATTGTCTCACACCCATCTATTCAACTACTAAAAAAAAAATAATAATAAAAATAAAAATATCCCAAAATCATTTTCAAAACTCTTTTTATCAACTTATCTTTCAAAATATAATTCAAAACTCAAAAATCGGTTCAATTCAGTACGGTTTGATAAAAGAAGTGATTTGTATTGGTGTTCAAATAAAATCGAAATTATCAATTTGGTGAATTTTTTTACCTAAATACCAGCTGTACCGAATCGATTACATCCCTATTCTACCTATCAATCAATCAAATTGTCTCACACCCATATATTCAATTACAAAATAGAATAATAATAATAATAATAATAATAATAATAATAATAAAATCCCAAAATTATTTTCAAAACTCTTTACATCAACTTATCTTTCAAAATATAATTCAAAACTCAAAAATCGGTTCAATTCAGTACAGTTTGATAAAAGAAGTGATTTGTATTGATGTTCAAATAAAATCGAAATTATCAATTTGGTGAATTTTTTTACCTAAATACCAGCTGTACCGAATCGATTACATCCCTATTCTACCTATCAATCAATCAAATTGTCTCACACCCATATATTCAATTACAAAATAGAATAATAATAATAATAATAATAATAATAAAATCCCAAAATTATTTTCAAAACTCTTTACATCAACTTATCTTTCAAAATATAATTCAAAACTCAAAACTCTTTATACAAACTAAACCAAACGGAAGCTCAGGAGACTGCATCCATTACAAAAATATAAAAATAGAGAAGAATTCAAAAGGCTGCATGAGATGCGAAACAAAAGCTCACAATGCGTTTCCCCAATACAAAATAAATTTTAAAAAAGAACTGTAAGATAGACTCAATAAGCTCGTACAGGGGTGCAAGCTCCCCCTTATCAATCAACTGGAATTCCTGCACCACCCATCACACAGTCAATAAGACATAACTGGAGCAATAATGTAATAGAATAGGAACAAATCACACCCAAAGAAATAAAATAAACTCTAATTCTCAATATTAAAGAACTCTCAATTCAATTCATATTCCAAGCAAAATAACCCTTAATACATAGAAAACCTTGATTTAAAAGTTTCCAAAATAAAACAAGACATAGTTAAATCCTATAATAAAATCCTAAATAATATTCTAATATTGCAATAATTCCTATACTTCTAAATTAAAAATAAAATAAAATAAAAGCAACCCTTCAAATCTTCCTCAACCAATACTTTTTATGTCCTTGTCAATGTGTGTTGTTTGTGTTTAATAGAGATAAGAGTGCTAACAACAAACCTTGTCATTCAGCCAAGCCACTCTTTTAAGTTCACAATCTATTTTGTATCCAATTTTGTTAAATATTTTTCTTTCACTTTTTATGCATTGTGTAGATTGCAAAGTGTTGTATTATAAAACTCTTCTTCGTCACCTTCTTTTTTGATGAAATGCAAAACTTTTCCCCATCGAGTTTTCTATTGTATACTATTAGATTTACACTTTACATAATATTATATTTTTCACAATATCTACACTTCCTTTTAGTATAATTTAGGCTTATTTTGTGTAGACTTTTTAAGAAATGTTTATTTAAATTAAATTAATACGTAATTTTTCTTTTACGGTAGGATCTTACGATCTTCAATCTGATTTTAGGATCCAATCATGTGAACTCCTCCAACAATCTAATGTAGGATCCCGATGTTAACAACCTTCCGGTAGGTATGGTGGTAGAGGTGAGGAAGGTTGGGTAGGGAGGTGAAGAGGGGTGGCAGGGGAGGTTGGGAAGTAAGGACGCTCTGCAAGGTCCAAAAAGAGGAAGGCGGTGGTGGGGAGGTTGCGGGTTCAAAGGTAGAAAATGAAGATAAGAGTAATTTGGTCTTAACAAATTAAAAATTGACTTCAACTAATATTTTTTTTTTCTTTTTTTCTTTTTTTCTCACTCTAAATAGGTGCATGCCACAATTTTCATCCATTTGACGGGAAATGTAATAGCAACATTGTAGTTCAAAACCATGAAGAAGGTATGTGGCTAATTTTAAAAGATAGGAGGTTAAATACTATTAGCCCATACCACAAGGGTATAAAAAAAAAACAAAAAAGATTTGATTTTGCCATTGCAATCAACATCCTAGTAAAATATACCAAAACCAAGTGTGGGTAAAAGAGGATATAGGCCTCGTTTGGAAACTTGGCTATTTTAGTTGGCTTTTAGCTATTTTATAAGATAAAAAAAAGTTGTGTTTGGGATGATTTTTTGATTTTTTTTTATAGTTGAATAGATGGTTGTGAGAAAAAAAGTGAATGATCGATGTGTAGGATGTGACATTTTGTCTTATTGACTATTTTAGCCTTTTTTTTTATTTTAGCCAAAATCCTTCATGCCAAACTCTCCCTTCCCACTATCTAACAATTTTTATGACTATTTTAGCCTTTTTTTTTTTTATTTTAGCCAAAATCCTTCATGCCAAACTCTCCCTTCCCACTATCTAACAATTTTTACCAAATCTAGAAATTAAATTACACGATAGACAAACCAATTGTGGTACAAAATTATGTAAGCATATAAATGGAAGACAATGTAATGAATTTCGGCCATTTTACAATTATAATTGAATGTAGAAAAGGAACTGTGAGATTGAACAATCTAAAACTTGGATGAAGTTGGATAACTTACCCATGTAAAAAGAACAAAATGCTTGAAACAAGCATTAAGATGAGCTTCTTCCTTTAGTAGACTCACAATCTTCTCAAAATGTGTGTGATAGATGTGCGCATACACTTGGAACAATCGCTTGAATATTGTCTTAACAACATCCTGAAAATTCGGTGGAAATGATGCCCCTGCAGGATATACAGAAGATTAAAAAAAAGTACGGCCTTTTTTGATTAAAACAAGAACAAACCATATGTTTACTGTATTAAGCAAACAACACGTACCCAACTTTTGAGGAAAAATTGATTTATCATCGAGCTGAGCCTCAATCCAGTCCATCAAATACTCTACATATTTAGAAGCAGACACCTCTATGGGTTTCTTTATACTAACTCCATCAGCCCATCTATACTCGTATCTGTGAGGAGGCAAAATTGAAGATTTGCAATTTGAATGCAACATAATTCAGACATAATTACAAATGTACATGCTTAAAGCAGATCTGAAATTGTATCATCCGGACAATCAACTTAACTAGCATGTTTCAATAAGTAACAATTAACTAAACTTTGTTGATTAGCTCCACATAATGATCTCTGACTACTTTCTTGGCCTTTTCCTTGCCCTTTCTTGGCCCTTTCTTTTCCCTATCATGATATCTGATTCATTAGACATGTTGGCATGGTTTTAAACCTCATTAATTAAATTTGATTTGCACCGGCAGATACCTTCATATAAACTTGTACCAACTAATTCCATACCATCTTTGGTTACAATATCCTATATATTCCCATCACTTAATACAAGTGACTTTCCAAAACATTTTTACCATTTAGACTTAATATCCCTCTAGTGGTAAATACAGAATATTATATGCAATTCCAAATACAATAAAATATGTAATGTTACAATCAGAGCACTTGGAACTTTCAAAGAAACCAAAATTTCAATCCCAACAGTTTTAAAGTTATTTTCCATGTCTTCGTAGTCCAAGAGAGAGAGAGAGAGAGAGTCGCACTAATTAAAGAAAAGAGTGTCGCAAGAACATTTCTTTTTTTTTCCCACAAGTATATCACCCGTAGAGCTTAACATCAAGCAAAGCTACACCAAACATTCCGTCAATAAAACAAGAAAGACAATTCTTAGGAGGACTGAAGAAAGATACTTTGGTCCTGCTGTCATTAATGGACAGCTTGATGCAGTGCAGAATTCTGTAAGAGTGCCATACAGAATGTTCACTTGATTGAAGAAGTCAACAGCTGCAGCCACAAAAAATCAAATTAAAAATATGCTAACAATAATTGCAATTGATAAAAAAATGTATGACCATGGATATGAACGCACACCAATGTACAAAAATATGCATATATTGTATAAAAAAATTGTATTTCTGAAACAAATGGTTTACTTTCAAGAGAGTTAAAAAAGTTGAGGCAAATTAGGTATTAGATTCTTCATTCAATTAATTCTAGGCAGTTTTTTTTTCTTTTTTTTTTTTTTCTGAGGGATAATAAACTAGGAGAATTTAACAATGAATGCAAGGGGGGAATACAAGCAAGAAGGATTGAGTTATCCTTCTGAAGACAAACAAGAAAAAGAAAAAAGAATCTCAACAACGCAACTAGAGATAGAATCCAAAAGAATAAACAAACCATTCCCAACACTGACCAAGCATAATCGGAGGTCAGTATCAAACATAATTCTAAACCATTAAGTCATCCTGAATTTTACTCAGAATCAATTAGACAACAATGGCTTTAAGTTGCAGTATGAAGTATCAAGCATGTTACTGAGTCCAAAAAAAATATGCATAATGTAACAGGAAATGGGACTTTTTGAGTCATGATTTGTTGTTTAAATGTGTAAACCTAAATGACACCTACTAACGTTCGAAACAACTCTTTAGAGAAATTTATACGACTTATTATTAATAATGGTTCGTGAGTTTATGTTTTTTAAAGCTGTTTTGTGGAACTTCTAGTTAAGATTTAGCAAATTATGAACACAAAATAATATGTACACACAAGCACCAAATCAAGTTGTACTAGCTATTACCCCATCAGTTCACCAACATCATATTATATTATTTTTTCTTTTAAGAAAATTTAATAAAAGACAGAAGCATTAGTAATTGATATTTAGTTAACAGTAATATGCAATGGAGACTTACATGCTGAAGTTCCAAAAAATATAACAGCAGATAGATGAGAAATCAGAACAAATTTAAAGACAGGACAGAATCTTAGACATGGCACTGCAGAAAATCATATAGTTATGGAAGTCATAGGTTTAAGTTAATTTTCTTACTATTTACAGCCAACCACTCATTAGGATGTTCACCAGGAGGCAGTCGAACAGCTTCCCTTAAGTTTCCACTACCTAAGGTAGCATCAATATGATTTTGAAGCTGTGCAGCCAGTGTGGGAATAAAACACAAATGGAGAAAAAGCATCAACAACAAAACGGCTAGCTCCAAAGAGCTGGGATTCATACTTTCTTGAGTTGAATCTCAGTAGCACAAAAATAAATAAATAGAAGGGCAAAGGAGACAACTTGAAAACCCATTGCCTTTAAGTTAGAACACCAACCTTACTTCCTGATGGAGCACTCTTCTTAGGCTGAAATGTCTTCTGGTTTCTGCACATTTCAAGGGTAGGAGATATATAATTAGCAATGGAAAAATAACCAAGGAAAACAATAACCCATCTTCTAGGCTTGTATTTAATAGAAAAAATGAGCAATCAAAACCACTTTATATACCAAAAGAAAAAAGAAATCCTGTTTCCCGATTCCCAAGAAGACACTGATATCTTAATCCATAATTTTCATGTACTTCAATGAAAAAATAGAATAAAACATACTCTTAAGTCAAATTTAGGATTCTCGAGGATGCAGTAAGATGAACGAAACTATGAATTAATAATGGCATTAGAATAGAAAGAAAATACACATTAATAATGGCATTAGTACACTGTCTATACAGTTAAAGAAGAAAACAAAAACAAAAAAACCACCTTTCATTTCCATAACAACTTACAAAATCCATATTTGACCAAAAAGTCATCCCAGATGACCGCAAAATAAAGCTATCGCACTCAATCTTCACAAAAAGTACAACTAAAGGCGGCTCACGCTTATTCGAGGCCCAAAGAAAAAAATGTAAATGGGGCCTCTTATAATTTCTTACACTGTAATTTTATTTTTTATATTATAATTTTTATTTAAAATTCATATCAATATCCCTAAACTTCACAATCAAAATAATTTTCTTAAGCTTGACAATAGGGCTCGGCGGGCCGAAATCGTGTAACAATCACTAGAAGGCCCGGGAAACACCTCGAACATCTCAGGAGGGACCAATTTGAGTTGTGAAAACTTAAAGAACAGGTGCGGGACGATCGGTTTGAAAACTAGGTCAGAAAATACACTTTTTTAACGCTTAAGCTTGGAAGTAGGCCATCGGGGGCCAAAATCATGTAACAGTCGCAAGCAGGGCCGGGAACACCTCAAACACCTCGGGTGTGACCAACGCGAGCTGTGAAAACTTAAGGAACTAGCACGGGACTCCCGGTTTGAAAACTAAGTTGGAAAGAGACACATTTTCCAAACTTAAGCTTGGAAATAGGACACCGGGGCGGCTAAAACCGTGTAACAGTCACGAGAAGGACCGGGAAATGCCCCAAACATCTCGGGAGGGTCCGAGATGAGTTGCGGAGACTTACGGGACTAGCACGGGACTCTCGGTCTGAGAACTAAATCAAAAAATGCACTTTTTTCAAACTTAACCTCGAAAATAGGCCGTCGGGGGCCAAAATCGTGTAACAGTCACGAGAAGGCCCGAAGCTCGAAAATAAGCCGTCGGGGGCCAAAATCGTGTAACAGTCACGACAAGGCCCGGAGAACATGTCAAACACCCCGAGAGGGACCAATGTAAGTTGTGAAAACTTAAGGAACTAGCACGGGACTCCCGGTTTGAAAACTAAGTCCGAAACGACACTTTTCTCGTACATAAGCTTGAAAATAGTCCATCGGGAGGCAAAAATCGTGTGACAGTCAAGAGAAGGTCCGGTGAACACCTCGATCACCTAGGGAATGACCAACGTGACCTGTGGAAACTTACGGAACTCGCATGGCACTCCCGGTCTGAAAACTAAGTCAAGAGATGCACTTCCTAAACACTTAAGTTTGAAAACAGGCCACCGAGGGCCCCCAAAATCCTGTAACAGTCCCGAAAAGGCCCGTGGAACACCTCCAACACCTCGGGAGACACCAATGCAAGTTGTGGAAACTTACGGAACTAGCGTGGGACTTCCGGTTTGAAAACTAGGTCGGAAAATACACTTTTCTAACGCTTAAGCTTGGAAGTAGACCATCGGGGGGCCCAAATCATGTAACAGTCGCAAGGAGGGCCGGGAACACCTCAAACACCTCGGGTGTGACCAACGCGAGCTGTGAAAACTTAATGAACAAGCACGGGACTCCCGGTTTGAAAACTAAGTTGGAAAGAGACACTTTTTCCAAAACTTAAGCTTGGAAATTGGACATCGGGGTGGCTAAAACCGTGTAACAGTCACGAGAAGGACCGGGAAATGCCCCAAACATCTCGGGAGGGTCCGAGATAAGTTGCGGAGACTTACGGGACTTACGGAACTAGCGCGAGACTTCCGGTTTGAAAACTAGGTCGGAAAAGGTACTTTTTTCACACTTAAGCTTGAGAATAGGGCTCGGCGGGGCCAAATCGTGTAACAGTCACGAGAAGGCCCGGCGAACACGTCAAACACCCCGGGAGGGACCAATGTAAGTTGTGAAAACTTACGGAACTAGCACGGGACTCCCGGTTTGAAAACTAAGTCCGAAATGGCACTTTTCTCGCACCTAAACTTGAAAACAGTCCATCGGGAGGCAAAAATCGTGTGACAGTCAAGAGAAGGTCCGGGGAACACCTCGAACACCTAGGGAATGACCAACGTGACCTGTGGAAACATACAGAACTTGCATGGGACTCCCGGTCTGAAAACTAAGTCAAGAGATGCACTTCCTAAACACTTAAGTTTGAAAACAGGCCATCGGAGGCCCCCCAAAATCCTGTAACAGTGCCGAGAAGGCCCGTGGAACACCTCCAACACCTCGGGAGACACCAATGCAAGTTGTGGAAACTTACGGAACTAGCGCGGGACTTCCGGTTTGAAAACTAGGTCGGAAAAGATACTTTTTTCACACTTAAGCTTGAGAATAGGGCTTGGCGGGCCGAAATCGTGTAACAATCACGAGAAGGCCCGGGAAACACCTCGAACATTTCAGGAGGGACCAATTTGAGTTGTGAAAACTTAAAGAATAGGTACGGGACTCTCGATTTGAAAACTAGGACAGAAAATACACTTTTCTAATGCTTAAGCTTCGAAGTAGGTCATCGGGGGGCCAAAATCATGTAACAGTCGCAAGGAGGGCCAGGAACACCTCAAACACCTCGGGTGTGACCAACGCGAGCTGTGAAAACTTGAGGAACTAGCTGGGGACTCCTGGTTTGAAAACTAAGTTGGAAAGAGACACATTTTCCAAACTTAAGCTTGGAAATAGGACACCGGGAGGAACTAGCACGGGACTCCTGGTTTGAAAACTAAGTTGGAAAGAGACTTTTTCCAAACTTAAGCTTGGAAATAGGACACCGGGGCGGCTAAAACTGTGTAATAGTCACGAGAAGGACCGGGAAATGCCCCAAACATCTCGGGAGGTCCGAGATAAGTTGCGGAGACTTACGGGACTAGCACGGGACTCTCGGTCTGAGAACTAATTCAAAAAATGCACTTTTTTCAAACTTAAGCTCAAAAATAAGCCGTCGGGTGCCAAAATCGTATAACAGTCACGAGAAGGCCCGGGGAACACGTCAAACACCCCGGGAGGGACCAATGTAAGTTGTGAAAACTTACGGAACTAGCACGGGACTCCCGGTTTGAAAACTAAGTCCGAAACGGCACTTTTCTCGTACATAAGCTTGAAAATAGTCCATCGGGAGGCAAAAATCGTGTGACAGTCAAGAGAAGGTCCGGGGAACACTTCGAACACCTAGGGAATGACCAACGTGAGCTGTGGAAACTTACGGAACTCGCATGGGACTCCCGGTCGGAAAACTAAGTCAAGAGATGCACTTCCTAAACACTTAAATTTGAAAACAGGCCATCGGGGGCCCCTCAAAATCTGGTAAAATTCCCGAGAAGGCCCGTGGAACACGTCCAACACCTTGGGAGACACCAATGCAAGTTGTGGAAACTTACAGAACTAGCGTGGGACTTCCGGTTTGAAAACTAGGTCGGAAAAGGTACTTTTTTCACACTTAAGCTTGAGAATAGGGCTCGGCGGGCCGAAATCGTGTAACAGTCACTAGAAGGCCCGGGAAACACCTCGAACATCTCAGGAGGGACCAATTTGAGTTGTGAAAACTTAAAGAACAGGCGCGGGACTCTCGATTTGAAAACTAGGTCAGAAAATACGCTTTTCTAACGTTTAAGCTTGGAAGTAGGCCACCGGGGGGCCAAATTCATGTAACAGTCGCAAGGAGGGCCGCAAGGAGGGCCGGGAACACCTCAAACACCTCAGAAGTGACCAACGCGAGCTTTGAAAACTTACGGAACTAGCACGGGACTCCCAGTTTGAAAATAAGTTGGAAAGAGACACTTTTTCCAAACTTAAGCTTGGAAATAGGACACCGGGGCGGCTAAAACCGTGTAACAGTCACAAGAAGGACCGGGAAATGCCCCAAACACCTCGGGGAGGGTCCGAGGTAAGTTGCGGAGACTTACGGAACTAGCACGGGACTCTCGGTCTGAGAACTAAATCAAAAAATGCACTTTTTTCAAACTTAAGCTCGAAAATAAGCCGTCGGGGGCCAAAATCGTGTAACAGTAACGATAAGGCCCGGGGAACACGTCAAACACCCCGGGAGAGACCAATGTAAGTTGTGAAAACTTACGGAACTAGCACGGGACTCCCGGTTTTAAAACTAAGTCCGAAACGGAGCTTTTCTCGTACCTAAGCTTGAAAATAGTCCGTCGGGGGGAAAAAATCGTGTGACAGTCAAGAGAAGGTCCGGGGAACACCACGAACACCTAGGGAATGACCAACGTGAGCTGTGGAAACTTACGGAACTCGCATGGGACTCCCGGTCTGAAAACTAAGTCAAGAGATGCACTTCCTAAACACTTAAGTTTGAAAACAGGCCATCGGGGGCACCCAAAATCCTGTAACAGTCCCGAGAGGGCCCGTAGAACACCTCCAACCCCTCGGGAGACACCAATGCAAGTTATGGAAACTTACGACACTAGCGCGGGACTTCTGGTTTGAAAACTAGGTCGGAAAAGGAACTTTTTTCACACTTAAGCTTGAGAATAGGGCTCAGCGGGCCGAAATCGTGTAACAATCACAAGAAGGCCCGGGAAAAACCTCGAACATCTTAGGAGGGACCAATTTGAGTTGTGAAAACTTAAAGAACAGGTGCGCGACTCTCGATTTGAAAACTAGGTCAGAAAATACACTTTTCTAACGCTTAAGCTTGGAAGTAAGCCATCGGGGGGCCAAAATCATGTAACAGTCGCAAGGAGTGCCGGGAACACCTCAAACACCTCAGGTGTGACCAACGCAAGCTGTGAAAACTTAAGGAACTAGCACGGGACTCCCGGTTTGAAAACTAAGTTGGAAAGAGACAGTTTTTCCAAACTTAAGCTTGGAAATAGGACACCGGGGCGGCTAAAACCGTGTAACAGTCACGACAAGGACCGGGAAATGCCCCAAACACCTCGGGGAGGGTCTGAGGTAAGTTGCGCAGACTTACGGAACTAGCACGGGACTCTCGGTCTGAGAACTAAATCAAAAAATGCACTTTTTTCAAACTTAAGCTCGAAAATAAGCCGTCGGGGGCCAA